TAATGACATTTGAAAACGAGAACGAATTTGAAACGTTTTTGAATTCAATTCAATTCTTAATTTTTTGAATGAACGAAATCTAATGTACCTACTTTAGAAATAAATTCATTTATCATTCATTTAAAAATAAATGGTTGTTGCTATTAAATTGCAGTACAGTTTCACAGGTACACTTAAACAGGTCTGAACTGATTTTGATAAAATTGGAGAAGGAAATAGCTAAAATTATTTTAAAGGGTTTTATAATTCAGCATTTCTTTGTAAGAATTTGTATAAAACAGTTTATGGGCCTAGAATACGATAATTTTATGTGAAAGAAAGTGTAAATTAAATAATACACTTGGCGGTTGCATTCGCCTCATTGAATTAATTAAGTTAGTGGAGCATTAACGCATGTACTCAATTTTTAGGTATATTACAAAACGTACATGCCTCATTCTTATTTTCTTAATTCATACTAATATTATAAATTTGAAAGTTTGTGAGGATGGATGGATGTTTGTTACTCACTCACGCCAGAATGTCTAAACGGATCTCGATGAAATTTGGCACAGAGATAGATTATAGTCTGGAATAGGACATAGGCTACTCTTTATTCCGGAAAAATATGCGATTCCCGTGGGATAGATTTGTTTTTGTTTTTACTAGGGATGAATCCGAAACGAAGTGAGGGTGAATCGCTAGTATTAACTATTTTATTGAATAAAGTAATAGTTTATAGGTAGTGTTACAATAACGTCGTGATTGCTGTGTTGAAGGTTATACAATGATGTCACCGTTCTTATATTTTTATAAGCATTGTCTATGAACACATTATTCCTAGTAAAAAATATTTTTTCCTTGTGTTCCTCCGACCTTGTGTCGATAAAAACATAGTAGCCAAAATACATTACATTCAAATCTATCCAGTTTCCACGATCATTTTTTTCAGCCCTTTTTTAACGTCCCACTGCTGGGCATGGCCAATTCAGCACATAAAGTCCTTGTCCACACACACAATGTTTCTGATGCAACAACTACTCAGCCAGAGTTTTCAGCTGAGTAGTCGTTGTTCTGATGCCATTCCGTTGTAACCTTATTATGGTATATGAACTGAATAACTATTTGTTATTTTTATATTTTTTACGTTTTAACCTTTATCTCAGAGATGAGATATTTTTCCGCAGTAAAAAGTATCCTATATATTGACTCGGATAACCAGCTATCATCATACCACAAATCATCAAAATCTGTCTAGTAGTTTTTTCGTGATGCGGTTACCGACAGACAGACAGACAAAAAATCTAAAAACTATAGATTCAGTCTCTGTTTCGATAATAATGTCTATTTCATAAAGATTTTCCAAAACATATTTAATATACAGATTCGGATAAGTTAAGAGTTTTATTATATGTATTATTTTTTGTATTTTACATAAAATGAAATTTAAAGTGCTCAATGATCTACTGTTTTTTTAATAAAAATAATCAGAAAAATATAACAGGAATAATAAAATATGCAAAGACATGTGTTACTTAAAAAAACTGTTTTTATTTTATGTCTATCCATTAAAACTTCGGACGTAATAACATATAAGTTACAATATCCTATTTTGTTATCAGTAGAAGTAGCCTTCAACTTATTTTCCAAAAATATTCATCAGATCATAATAAATATTTCATTATCTAATTAGAAAGACACGCTTATTTCAGACCCTTCTCTCCAAAATATCGTATACTGGAACACAAATTATCCTAATCACATTCCAAATTGTCAGAGGTATTTTCACACGAATTCACTAATTACCTACGCCTATCTGGGCACTGGTTACGGTTAGAATTTACCTCATTAAAGTCATATTGATTATATTTTTATTTTATACTAGCATGGCCCGCGGTTTCGCTCGCGCTTAAACTACAAAAAAAAACTAAAAAGTTGGGTTCCATACAAACTTTCGTCCCCTATTTTACTCCCTTATGGGATGAATTTCAAAAAATGCTAAAATAAGTATTTATTTAATTGTATTTAAGAGCATTAATACCAAGTTTCAAGTAATTCTGATCATACATATTTGTTTGCTTGTATTATAACGTGTTTTTCCGTGAGAATGAGATAATTCAATGCGGTAAAAAGTTGCCTTTGTCACTTTCCAACCCTCCAAGTATCTCTACACAAAAAATCACGCCAATCCGTCACTGTTTCGACGTGAAATAAGGACAAACAAACACACTTTCACATTTATAATATTAGTATGGATACTTATTTATTAAGGCAATTGTTCTTATGCTCTATGTTCGATGGTAATGTATGATGGGACATAAGTAGGATGTTCCATTCCTGTATGGGGTAAATATATGTATTGTATTGTGTCAATTGGTATTTAGTACATATAAAAAAGTTAATTTATAGAAACTTAAATAAATACATACAATATACTTTTTAAACAAATGTATATATTTAAGTGATACATATATTTCTTTTATACACATATTTTTTTTATAAATCAGTTATGAAGATTTTGTATTATTATATAAATTTATACTTGTATTTGCATAAAATCATCTTTAAAATAATCGTACATGACAAACCCTTTTAAAAAATCGATCATTAGCACTGAAGTTAACACACCAAACTACTTTGACTTTGAAGGCTTTTGCGAATACGCCATTCTTAAAATTTTCCAAGTATTTAATTTGTCTGTTAGAAGTAAACTCAGCAAAGTACTCAAAACTTAATCGGTGTTTAATGAAAGCATTTAAAATTCTTTTAAAATGTTTTAAGCCATTTTCTCCACGAATCTTATTTTTAAGTATATTTTTAAGTGGCTTAACTTTGGATGAATTTCTTTGAGAAGTTATTTTTAATCCCCGACGCAAAAGAGGGGTGTTATAAGTTAACGTGTGTATCTGTTTATCTGTGCATCTGCTTGTGGCATCGTAGCGCCGAATGATGAATCGATTTTAATTATTTTTTTCTTTGAAAAGTGATTTAATTGAGTATGCTATTAGCCATAAATCGAGAAAATCCATTCAGCCGTTTGCAGCCTATCAGTTTTTTTCTAGACGGTAAAAGGATATGAGCAACTTCCACAGACGTAGGTATTCCATTCGAAACTTGGTATCCCATTACTTCAATGACATTGCAACGTATGGTAACATAGACCTGGTACTGCAGGCTGCAGCATCAGGTCTATGTTATCAGGCCTGCAGCGTCATCTGGAGTCTGCAAGATACTCAACTCTTACTAAATTACTGCAGAGATATCGTGTTTAGGCTCATTGAAAAAGCCTCAATGAATGGGTTATTCTTTTGGGAGCTTTTAAATGTTTAATTTAATTTATTATTCCTTAGATTTGGTTCACTTTATATGATCACTACGACTCTATTACTTTCGGTGTAGTGTTTAATTGATTGATTTTTTTAGTTTCGTGAAGCTAATGCAGCATTGTGAATATAAATATTTCAGTGCAACAGTACTTCTATATCATAGATTTTGTAATCGAATCCCTGATGTTCCTTGAAGAATTCAATTTAAAAACATGCTTTTTCGTAAAAAAAGTGCTATCTCTAGGTTTAGACTCACTTTTTGATGAAAATAACTTAGCATTAATTTACTCTCTTTAAAAATATTTACAATAAATCAGAAGAGTTTCTTGCTTGTGTATTTGAACGCGCTAATCTCTGAAACTACTTCTCAAATATGAAAAAATAATTTTGTATTATTAATAGAATATATTAAGGAGCGGCGCAATTATACAAAAATAAAATTATCAGATATTCCGTCAGATTAAAAAATTTAGTTCAAGAAAAAACGCACATAGAAGATCTTTTATCTTTTAAGGCTTATTTAATTATTTAAGGCAAACAATATCCGACGCTGAATATTGCGAAATTGAAATTGTTTTTAGCGGATTGGATATTTTAACAAGAGATATTTTGCCAACTTTATATATAACGAGCATTGTCCGAGGCTCCGCCCGCGTTTAGATTCAGATGGCCAAAAACCAAATTCTTAGATTTTACATATTAGTATACTCTTATATTGTAGTTTTTGTATTTTTTTCTCAGAAATGAGACATTTTCCCGCGGTAAAAAGTATCCTATATGTTGACCCGGATAACCAGCTATCACCATACCAAATTTCACCAAAATCCCTTCAGTGGGTTTTCTTTGATGCGGTAATAGACAGACAGACAGACAGACAGACAGAAAGACAAAAATTCGAAAAACTATAGATTCGGCCTGTGCATTGATAATAATGTCTCTTTCAATGAGATTATCCAAAAAATATTTAATGTAGAGATTCGGCTTAGTTTCAATTTTATTATATGTATAGATTATATACAATTGTTTTCATTAAAAATATTTGTGTACATGAGGTCAGATTTCCCGAAATACGTGTACGTGACGAGCAATCTAGGAGCACAATGACTCACTTTCAATAATTTTAAATAATGCTTATTAATGTATGATCGCTTGTTATTTGTAAAGCATTAATATTAATACTGTGACTGCCTATTGTAGTGCTTTATTTAAATATGTCCCTCGGTAAGATTGATTTTACTTAAAATGTTGCATGTACATAATAATTTAAACCGTATTGATAATAAGCATTTAGTAATAATTAATAAAAATTAAAAAAGTAATAATTAAGGGTAATAGAATCATTTTTTATTTATATAATATTTTCATCGTATTTATTTTGAACTTGAGTTTAGTTTTTCTCAAATTAAACCTACTTGTTAGAATGTTTACGCGTTGTGTAATATTAGTTTTGCAATTAAGAAAGTGTTTTGTTTTATCTATCAGCTATTCTATTTATATGCTATTAAATCAAATGAATAACTTATAATATGTATTTAAGGAATCTGGAGTCATGATACTATTTTAAATATCTATGATTTCTAGGATTCTTCCTATAGGGTCATAAAAGGTTATAAAAGGATATAATCCTATCTTAATGTGTTGAATAAAATGATTCATTTGAATAATTCTGTTACAGGAGCTGAACGAATCTGAAAAATGGCGCCGTGGGGAGTACTCACGCTTATATGTGTTGCATTCATCTTTGTCGAAGCCAGGCGATTTCACCAAAAACGCGATACTAAATCTCACCTCTGCGATCCAGTATACAATAATACAAACAAAATACAATGCTATTGTGTCAGAGGTGCACTAAATAACGAAATTCGAAGTGCAGATTGCTCTCTCGCAGTTGACGGTGTAGCACCGGACGATCCTAACTGGAAAGTGTTTGAGGAGTTAAAAGACATTGGAAAGCTAGATTTTACTAATTCAAGAGGCATTAATTTAAAATACATTCCGCACCACGCTCTTGAACATACTAAAGCCGTGTTGAAATTAACCGTTAAATACGGAAATATCGATGTTATTGAACCATTCGCGTTCGCCAACTTAACTCTCGTCCGAGAAATAACTCTTGCTGACAATCAGATTAAAACTTTAAAAGCTAATGCGTTTTGCCACCACCGAGATTTAGTTACCATTGGCTTAGACACGAACGCTATTGTAGAAATAAATAGAGACGTATTTATCGATTTGCCGTCGCTAGAAAAGATTTATCTTACAAATAATAAGATAACAACGATTCACGATAGAGCATTTGTGCACTTGGTGAATTTGAGAGAGTTAGAAATTGATCGGAACAACCTGTTCAGTTTGAATAGCGAAACGTTTTCGGGATTGAAAAAGTTAGAAAAGCTTGATTTAAGCGGCAACAGTTTAGAGGTTATCGGTGACAATACCTTTTTGCCCCTTCAAAATTTGCGTATACTGAATTTGGAAGGGAATAAAATTCAAATGCTAGATGAGAAAGCTTTTAAAGGTTTATCGAAGTTGAAGTCTTTGTCTTTATCTCATAATGTGATAAAAGATATTGATAACGTGAAGATATTTGAGGGATTAAAGTCTCTTGTGATACTCAATTTGAAAGGCAATCAGCTGAAAACTCTGAAGCCAGAGGTGATGGATCCTATAGTGAAAAATTTTTACACTAATGCAAGCAATTTGGATATTGAAGGTGAGACTAGCTATCCGACTACACACTATATTTTTACTATGCTTATAATATTGTAGTTTACTGCCTCGGTGGTGTAATGGCTAGCATGTAAGGCTGCACATCTGGAGGTCCTGGGTTCGAGTCCCGGATCGGGCCACGTTTAGTTACTGAGTTTTTGTGTTAAAAATGTCCCAGTAACAGTCTGGAATTGGAAAATTAGTGTTTCACTCTTGTGCCTTGGAAAGCGCCATCATCATCAATACTGAGGTAGTCATTATTAACAAACACTATCGACTTTCTCTGGTTTAGTTCGGGAATAAATTATTACACAATTCATACACAGGGCCACTACTTCTTTAACCTTATTATTAATATACCTAAATAAATCACAAATTATAATTTGATACTATTCGCGTGCAGGTTGTACGTATCGTATATCAGAAACTTCCATATTTATTCATACATATAACAACTAACGGTGAATTTTAACAAAATTTGACAGTTGGTAGAATTACTACAACTATACTAGCTTAAAATTTAGCATTATACTAGCTTATAGAGTGGTAAGTTACCAAGATTTAAGAAACAGGGGCTTTTAAATTAAAATTAAAAATGTTTTAAATAAATAAAAAAATGAAAATCAAAATAAATAAAATATAAATAAAATTCAAATTTCATTAACAGGTTATTGCAATTTGGTCCTGTTATAGCACTATAGGCTAACGTACAATTGTAGACATAAATATTTGTATTGGTCATAGGTACATATTAAACGCTCTGGACAAAAAAATAAGTTGACGTACTTTCCTCCATATTTTTTAAGGAGATTGCAAGATTTTTAAAGACAATAAGTACGTCGTCCTATTGCTTATTTGTTCGAATGACCTATTAAAGAATAGTTGTCGTACTTTGCAATAGAATTTTATTTCTTCTATTTTAAATTATTTTTTAAGATTTAAAGACACATATATATATATATATATATATATATATATATATATATATATAAAATACATATACATTTTTCTTTGGCTTCATTAAAGTAAAATCAAATTTTTACTATATTTATATAATACCAATGGAATTGACATTTAAAAATCAGTAATTTAAAACTGTTTGGACAAATAAGCACTGGGACGACAAGTAGATATCAATTCGATAAAACAATTGCTAGCAACAGTTTTTTCTTTAAAATATAAAGATACAAATATATTTGGATTAACTCTTAACAATGCGCCAGATCTATGTTTAGTTTCAGTTCCAGTCTAGAATAAGTGGTGGTAAAAAAGTTTTTATGCGCAACTATAAACTATAAAGCCATAAACAGTAAGAAAAAGAAATAAAATCGATTTTCGTTGTCAATTTAACTTTGTTTTCTTTTTTGTAACTACAAAAAAAATAACTTATTGTTGATTTTTGAAAAAACCGCTCGACCGATTTCGATAAAATTTATATGAGACCACCTGGGGAGTATACTCTTTGAAACAAAAAAATCCAAATCGCTTCAGGCGTCTTGGAGTAACCGGTGAACATACATAAAAAAAAGATTCCGACGAATTGAGAGAACCTCCTCCTTTTTGGAAGTCGGTTAATAACAAAAAATATATTTTAATTTCTTTTATAGATATTTCTTAAAAATTCTAGATATTTTAAATAAAACTACCTTTTTTAAAAAAAATTCGCGGATTTATTTTGATTTTTGGTTACCGACGCGACGTTTCGAATGCTTTACCTACAGCAATCACGGTCAGAAGAGAAATCATGAAAGATAAGAAAGTATCATGTAATTCTAGATATTGAAATACCTATCTTTTGATTGCAGATAACAACTTTCCATGTGACTGCCGTCTCGACTGGTTCCTGACTCTCATAAACAAAACAGACACGCCTTCACAGCTGAAGCTAACTATAGATAACCTAAAGTGCATTCCAAGTCCTGAACTCAAGGAAAAATGGACGAAAGCGACAGAAGTCGATAAAGTCGAAGAAACACAAGACATCGAAGCAGCAGCCGACTACGAATACTATGACGATACACAATTAAATGGCAAATTATTTTACACCGACTTAAGATTCTTATTGAATTGCTCTGACAAATTCGATGAAACTTCACCAAATATAGCCAGTCCAAAACCAAAAAGTACAATGGAAAAAACTGGAACTACCCATAAAGCTGTCAACTCAGATTTGATTGGAAGTACAACAGAGTTTAATAAAGTTCAAGAAATAACGGAAGCTAAGAAGATATTCACAACCACAAAGTTAGTTACGGTTTCGGAAAATCCCATTGGAAATTTGAATGTCGAAGAAATGGCCTCTGATGAAGGCAAGCCTGATACAATAAAAGCGCACAGAAGCGTGCAAGAAATGAGAGATGTGAGTGCAAGCGGTGCGTTTAGAAATGTAGCCTCTATTATTATGCTTATAATAACATTTATTATGTATTTGTAGATTATTTATTTATATGTAACTTTATCTCTCAGTCATTATTATAGTAATACTAAGGTTTGTCTCGTTTTATTTTATCTACCCCCAATTTTTTTTTAATTGTTACTAAAACATCAAAAAGTCAAAAAAAAATTAAGAACTAGAAATTAGTACTTAAATATTAATACTGTAATTTTACTTGAGTTTGAAACCTAGTTATGTCTTGTAAAAATGTTCTTTTTAATTTTCTTAAAGTCAGAGAAAAATAAAATTTTCAAACAGCCTTTTAGAATGTAACTTTTTGTTCGTATTGTTAAATTGTATGATTTTGTTTTAAAATATTAAAATAGTCAAAATAAGAGGTTTTAATTAAACTATATTCCTCTTTATTTTATTATATAAGTTCATGGTTAGCTCATAAGTAGTAAATGCCTTTCTGAAGGGCTCTTTAAAAAGATAATGTCATGTCATATTTATTGTATAAAATATTATTAAAAATAAATAGCAACAACGACATGTTCGTTTTGCACAGGAATCAAACTCGCTACCTACGAACTATTGTAGTATTGTATGCTTTTTTAAATTATAAGAAAGTAGGCTATATATTTTTTATTAAAAATAAAATTACTAGCGCCATCTATTGACAGCATATAATAATTCTAAGACATGAGCAACCACATAGTTCATTGGTAGATTGCATACGTAGTAGTATCGACAACGAATCATAGATGGCGGTACTACATGATTTCCTATTAAATAAACTGTTCTTTATTAAAAAAATTTTAATATCACTTTTTCTTTTAAATATGAGTTGTTTTTGTTGTATATAGAAATAAACTTTCGTTTCTTAACTTTAAAAGAAAAATAGGCAAACCTTCAACAGAATCACAATTATGAGCCTGAACCTAACATAATTTTCTCCAGACCTAGTGCAATGAATATAAAATAAAAAAAAAATATCTTGAATTGAAATCTATACTTATTATAAAAATAAGTCCCCCGGCCGCGTCTTTCTGTCCTCCTGTCTGTCCTCCTGTCTGTCCTCCTGTCTGTCTGTACGCGATAAACTCGAAAACTACTGAACGGATTTTTATACGGTTTTCAACAATAGAAAGAGTGATTCTTGAGGAAGGTTTAGGTATATAATTTATCATGCTTTTATGTAAATTAGCTGAAATACGGCGACAAATGTTGAAGAGGTCGCAAAAAATCTCGCCAAATGGGAACTTTCCACGCGAACGCCGCGTAAACTAGCAAAGATACAGTTAAGTAATGTACTAGAGAATTCAAAATCTATAAAAATGCTACAAAAAAGTCCGCGATAGCATATCTCTATCTCTTACGGTTGACTTACAATAACCACTTTTATGTTAACATTTTTAATTAAAAACATTACGTTATTTTCAAAGTTATTTTCTTTAGTTCGGTATTAATCCTTATCCAAATGAATATTTTAGTTAGCTTAGTCATTTAATGCAGATTAAAATTGCTCTTTACACTAAATCAATCAGATGAATAGTTTTTGAGATATCGTTGTTAGAAGTAATTAGTAGCGAAACATTTTTAATGCTTGGCGAGCATTGAGATGCCTACGGCGAGTCCATCCCCTCTGCCCCGCATCGCTCGACCGCCTGCTCAAGCTATATAAACCGGGCGATGTAGCGCGCGATCCTAGGATACTTTTTACCGCGGGAAAATATCTTATTTCTGAGGAAAAATACAAAAACTGCAATGTAAGAGTATACTAATATGTAAGAATTTAGTTTTTGGTCATCTGAACGCGGGCGGAGCCGCGGGCAATGCTAGTGGATAATAATTTAAATTGTCTGATATATTAAATCCAACAAAAAGTGACTTAAAAAAAAGGTTTTATTTATGTATGCTTTTTATTTTACGTTTTGTAGGTTTAGACGTCCATTTACGTACATACTCGTATTTCATAGGCTTTTAAAATTCTAGTTAGGTACTCTCAAATGAAAGGTGTGAGGGAATGAGGTGAGGAGATTCTCACAGAATAACAGGGTTTGATCCTTCCTGATTTTTCATTTTTATTTGATGTTTCTTGTTTTATGTAAAACTTTTTTTGAAGATTAATGGTTTATATAACACTTTTTTAGATTTACTTATTCAAATATTTCATATTTTAAATAAAACTTCTCGGATTTTCTCGTGGATTTGTTTTGATTTTTGGTTCCTGACGTTTCAAATGCTTGAAATAATTATGTTTTTGCCAAGATTCATTTTGATCATAATTTTAAATTTTTATTAAGGAACAGATATCATAAACGGTGTTAATTTATTTTTTTATTACAAACGTACTAAAAACATGAACGTGTAAAGCTTTAAGCAAGCGCTAAAAACACATTTCGATTTGTAGTAGGTAAACGTTTAAGGCACTTGTGGTTGTAAAATCTGTTATAAATCTTTACAGGAGTCGGTATATACAAGTAATCGAACACTGCAAATTTTCTATCGTGAAATAGTTTATTAATAGTATCGCTATCGACTGATAAGAAAGTGGGCTACATTTTCATATTGAGTAAAATTTAAAATAATATTAAATATAACATCTACAGTAGGTGAAAACTCCAATTCTTTCTGAAAAATATGCTCCAATGAAAGGTCCGCATTAGAACTTAATATTCTCGAAACTTTTTATAATTAAATTATCTTGAAAACGTTTCCTTCATCAAATTAACCGCGATGCCTTTAATATTCTGAACAGAAAAACCTTTGCGAGAAAACCCATTAACGTACTTTGTTAGTAAAGGAAAATAAAACAGCTTTTTTGTTGCAAGCCCGTCCAGTGACGAGCGATATTTATTTTTGTGCGAAATATTTTTTTAAATTTTCGAGTAATTTATACTGATTTATTTACTTGATTTCAATATTTTTAGAACAATTATGTCTATGAAGTATTTTATGAATAAATTTGGTTTAATGAAGTAAGCTTTATGATAAAAAAAATAATTTGGAGTCTTTTATAACAAACAGGACAAGAAACTATAAACATTAAACATATTTATAGTCTGAGATCCCAATCTATGTGGTGGGCCCCTCATTCTTTTTCCAGACGAAATATATTTTTTAAGCCATGAAAGATTAGAAGATGAGAATTTTAACAAACACGACCTAGGGTGGTTGTCACCAAAAATTTGCTCCAGGCTATTTTTTACTAAAAAATGATGTTTTGGTATGACAATTAACAACCCTATATCATTAATTTGCTATAAAATTATCTACCTTTTGACTTGGTTTCCGGAAAATTATACGAGCAATTAACAACTTCAATTTACCTGGATGTCAGGTAATGTGTTCGAAAAAGACCTCCAAACGTATGATGGTATTTTCTACAAGTCTCTTACTTTCGATTGATACTAATTTGTAATTTTTGAATTGCAAAATAACCTGGACCAAATTTTTGATGACAACCCCCTGGGTCATGTTTGTTAAAATGTTTTATATTTAAAAAAAAATCGTTTGGAAAAAGAGTGAGGGGTCCACCACATAAATCGGGATCTCCTACCAGCAAAATAAAATTAGATACATAATTTATGTCATTTACATAATAGATTTTTCTAATAAATATAAATAATATACAGATATACGCAATATCATAAAACATAACATTTTATATGAAAAGAAAATGTAAGAATTTTGATCCCCTTAAAAATAAGGTAATTACCATTCTTCTTTATGGCTTTTAGGAGAGCTATTTGAGTACAATTTTATGAACGAATTCACATATTTTCTTTTTATATATTATAATAACATACATTCTTTCAGAAAACGTTTACCATGTTACCTTTCCTTATCACTTAAAAATAAAAATGATGAAATGAAAATAACAAATAATTGTATGAATTTATTTTTTTTATTTTTATTTAAACTGAAATCTGATATATTATGTAATATGTAGCTAAATCTATCTACCTATATAGGTATAAATAAAAATCAACTGCTGCTCTTTTTTACGCGCATCCCTTAAAAACGGCTGGACCGATTTGGCTAATTCATGTTATAAAATATTCATTTTAAGGTTTTAGGGTTATAAATGAAAAAGTTTTCTAGATATTAAAGAAAGTCGGGAAAATACTGAAGGTATAGTTGCCTTTTTTTAACAGGGCAGGTTTGGATATCGTCCCCTCCAATGAGAGTTTACCTTAGCATGGTGGGCTCATTGGCGTCCGGCAATTCAGTCAGGCGCGAAGCCAAGAAACGCATTGGGAGGAGGCCCACCGTGGTGGGTGGTATGCTATGTGGGTTGCTCCTGGTACTTCTCTGATAGCAGAGTAGACTGTTGTAGCGACCCCATGGTTGTTTCCTGCGACGCCCCATTAAGACAGGGGAGGTTCCTTTAGGTTTTAGTGGATCTATGCCTAAATGTATTTCCCAGAGTAAAAAAAAAATTTTGGACAGGGTAATAATATCTGTGAGATCAGCTGATTTATACACATAAATGGTTATGTACATACTTGTTGCAATAATAATATTATATGGCTTCCACCATCAGAATAAACTTACATAAATCTTTTTCATCCCTACCAAATCAATATTTTATACGTCGGCTCCTTTGTAGCAGTATGCATTATTCACATAATTCTCGATGGTGTCGTTTGTTCTATTTTTATTACGCTTTCTAGTGAATGATAAAATTGTAGTATCTAGTAAATAGTAGTGGAGTTTTATTAGTTTAAAGTTCATACGATAGATATGAAATTTGTTGGTTGATTTGTTACTACTCAGGTCTACGCGAGTTTGATCTCTGTCAAAGCAAATATTTGTTTTTAATTTACAGATTCACGATTCGCTATAAATAACACTAATAACTAGATAAAAATAACTAAGCGGAAATAGAATCACCTAAAATGTAATATAGCTAAGTTAATTTTTGAATTAAATAAAGAAATAAATATGTTGGGACATTAACACATATCACCATCTAGTTCCATGGTAATCTACGAAGCTTGTGTTCAGGATACCGGATAGTTGATACAATACATAACTTTAAGTACATAGAT